AAACAATACACAAAAAAGCTAAAATAGAATAAAAAACCAAGATAAAGAAAAATATATACAAAAGAAAGAAAAAAAACTTTAAATTAAGACCAAGCAAGATGATATCAAGTGAAACTAAATAATTATCAATCCTTGGCAAGGGTGCCAAAAACTTGTAGCAAAAATTGCTTACTACAATTTTACAGGTCAAGTTTTAATAAAAGTGGTAAGTCAATATTGATATCGTCCTCTGGATTGAGTTTTAAGCTCACTCAAGTACCACAAATACACTCGCTCAATTTTATTTAGAGAGTCAAAATCGAGTGAAAGAATGTAGTTAAAACAACTAAACATGCAATTAAAAAAATAGAAAATCAATGGGAAGAAAGGTTTTTGAGAATTGATTTCACCTATCGAATCTATGAATCAATTACTTAATTACTCAAATATTGAATGAATCATTGATTCTATAGGCCTAGAACTCTCAATCTCAACTGCCTCTATCGAGCGTAAACTAATTCTCTTTACTAATTAAGAAATCAAGATCTATATCTAATTTCTATAACAAGTAAAGACTTTATTGATTAAGTCTTTTAACGACCTCTAAAAGCTCCAATCCTTGTTGTTATTCCTTGTTAGTTACTTTGATTTTGATTTTCTCTCAATTTGATCCAATTATATCTCATTTCTTCCCGATACTTCATCCTTGCAAAATGTCTTATGTGCGTAAATTAGGGGTGTACATCGTTCGGCCGGGTCAGTTTTCGAGGTCAAAATTCCCACTGACCCACATATGGTCGGTTTCCAAAAATGGGAAATGACCGACCAACGTAGTGAAGCTTTTGCTGACCGAACCGACAGTCGGTCGGTTTTTCGATAAACCAACTTCCTTTTTTTTTGCATTTTGTGTTTTCCATAGACCTTTGTACCGATTCTATCTCCCCTTGGCCTTTGTAATAAAAAAATCATATTCATTGTTCCTGCTGTGAAGACTTTCTCTTGAGAGTAAAGAGGAGTTAGAGTTGAGACTGAGAATGAGAGAAGGAAAGAGAAGATTTAAACTTGAAAGGGAGAAGAAAGAAGAAAGATAAAAAGAAGGGAAGAAAAAGTAATTATAGAGGGAAGGTAGAGGAGGTTGAGAAAGGATTATAAATTATAAATATATAAAATAAATAAATAAATTTGTCGTTCATGTGAATGACAAAATAAATAAATATATATATATATATATATATAAATATATATATATAAATATATATATATATAATCAGAGTGAATCACGACGAGTTCACACATGAATCAATATTTATTTTTTTTAAATATACGTATGTTGGTCGGTTTCAGTCAGTTTGGTAGATATTTTTCTAACCAACTAACCGACATGTTGGTTTTGTATTAATAAAACCGACCTTCGACCAACAGGAGTTAAAAATTGACCAACCGACATCGGTTTGATTGGTTTTGGTCGGTCAGATCGGTTTGTCAGCCAATCTTGTACACCCCTAACTAAATCTATCATAGATAAATAAAAACTAACAAATAATTCCAATATAGATTACATCAAATGTAGCTCACAAAGTAAATCTCCAAACTTAACTTTTTGCATGTTCTCAAGCAAACATAACTACTATATATCTAAGGATCTCATGCGTAATAAAGAAAAGTTAAATACAGGTGTAAATTTCATCTTACCACTCATGTATTGCTTGATGAAGATTTTGAAGCAATTAATAGTGATTTTAGCCAAACAAAGTTGGTTGGTTTTATAAACTGATACTAATGTCACTCAAGTTTGGGAGGTGTCATATAGCATTGGAGCACTTGCCTATTGGAAAATCATTTGAAACGATACATGTTTTTTATTATGACATCATGTGTTTAGACCTTGTTATATGTCAACGTGCAAATGACTTTTTTTTTTGACATTGCAAATGACTTATTGTATTTGGAAGAAGAAAATGATGTTTTAATCCTCGATCATGTAAAAAAACTAAAAAGGGAGAAGTAAATCAATGCTACTATGGATCGTTTTCATATGAGCGAGATAAAAGTAATCAATGTTGTTGTGTTGTTGACCACATGTTTGAACTAAGGCCCTGTTTACCTACCAGGAATTGGAATAGAAATTAATCGGAATGAAAATCAATCGAAAATCAATCGGAATCAAATTAATCGGAATGAGAATATTATTCCTTTGATACTGTTTATGAGAAATTTTCTGGGATCGGAATCAGGATTCCTTTGATGTTCTTTACTAAAACTGTCTAGAATCAGAATCGGAATCAGATATATGACAATTACTAGTATACCCCTATCTTCTTTCTAGCTAATCATAAATACATTGGTGCCAATTTTTTTAATTACAATAATAATTTTTTAATTTATTTTATTACTGTATTATTGATAGTAAATATTTTTTTACCAAAACAATTTATTTAATATTAATATTAATAAATAATAAATAATAAATAATTAAAATAAAATTGCATCCACTAAAATACTATTTTATTAGAACCATCGTCATTTAATATAAAATATTATTAAATTTTATTATAATAATGTTATTAAATTATATTATTATAATAATTAATGATAATGAATTATATTTTAAAAAATCTAATATTAATTAATAATAACACAATTAAAAGTTAAATATAAATTTAATATTTTATAATAATATCATATCAACTAATAAAAGTGATATAAATTTTTACTAAAAGAAAAATTATTAATAGTATAAATGAAAAGGAAATAAAAAAGTATAAAACAATTAAATAAAAAGTTATGGTTCTTATTAATCATGAGAGAGAAACTGTAGAAGTAGAAAAGTGATTGCGTGTGGGATTAACGGAATAAGAAATGAGAACGTGGTCGATAAGGGTGTAGGAGAGGAATGAGATTATACCTTTTTAGGGAATGAGAATGAAAAAAGTGAGTGGGTCTCACCATTTGATTATTTCAACAATTTGGTAAACACGAAGGGATAAAAAAATTGATTCCTGTTCCTTCATTCTCATTCTCTTAGAGTAAACATGACATGTATTAAGAATGATGACAAACATGTGTTTTTCATCGTAAATATTTCTACATTTTAGAAGTTATTTCATAGTGGTTAGTTAATTAAGTAGCGAGTGGATGTAAGTTCGGGAGAATTTGTAAGCTTAGTGTGGTTTAGTGGATTAGTGGGGTTGGTTAGATAGAATTTGAAGGGCAATGGTTTAATTAGTCTACATGTAAACCGTTCTCATTTTTGATGAATATGAATATAAGTTCTTCTTTTGTACAATTTCTCTATTGCTTTTACTCTGTTATTGTTTTCCTCCCTACATCTCCTTGATATGAAATTGTCCATTTTGGATATAAGCTCTTGTGACTTTACTTTTGGTATTACCCAAAAAGAGATACTAGATTATGTCCCTTAATTATATACCATAGACCTCCTTATCCAGACAATATGAGACATTGGTTGCATTCCAAGAAAAGGAGAGAAAAGTAAAACCCGTGTCTTTTTTTTTGGTACAAAAAGTGTGGAGATGAAAGATTGAACATTTGACCTTGGGGAAGGAACAATGTGCCTTAACTGTTGAGCTAAACTTAAAGTAAAAAACCAAGTTACCAAATCTAATCAATATCTTTCCATTAGTGGGTTAATGATCCATGAACCATTTAGAATCACTTTATGAACTTCATAAATTATAGTGTCTCTTTTGATTATTTAATTCAATGGAACCAATAAATGCATTTTACCTTTTAAACTTCTCTATTTTAAAAAAAAAAAAATCTTCGAACAAAATATTTACTAGCTCTAAAAGTAAAAATTAAAAATTAATATAACGGAGTATGAATAATTTGTTTTAAAAATGACATTGTTCTTCGGTTTCTCTTTCATTATGCATAATTTATATTTTGGACCTTTGTGTGAAAATGAAGTTTTGGATACTTTCCTTCAGTTTCAAAAGAGCACAAATCTCAAAGTATCTTCTTTAATCCTACTTTCATTTATTATAATGATTTATTTTTTGTTTTTAATTATTATGAAATTTTTATTTAATGTATTTTTATTTTTAAGAAATGAGAGTTTCATTCATTGGAAATGCCATGGGCTACATGATTTTGAATCTCCCTCTGCAATTAGAAATGATAATTTTATTTTTTGGTTTCATCCTTTTATATCTTTTGATAATAATAAATAACAATAATAATAATGCCTCAATTAATTTTGAAAATCTCCTTATGATAAAATGACGTGTCCTATTTTTAAAAGGTTGAAATGGGATAGTTGAAAATCATTTTTGACTTATTTAACCATTATACAAATTTCAAATTCTAAACTTTTTATTAGTAATATAATTTATTAATGGTTTATTCCATTACTTTGATTAAAATAAAAATAATATTTATGTTGTAAAATTAAAATGAATTACATTAAATTATAATATTATTTTTTAATGCAACAAATAGAATAATGACTCTATTCTATTTCTCAAATAAAAAAATACTCACTCTATTTTAGTTGGAGATAAGTGCCTTAATAGTTTAGTTATGCTCGTTTAGTTATGCTGGTAAATTATAATATTTTCAAAATTTTAATTAAATTAAAAATAATTTAAAAAATTCAAAATTTATTTTTTAATTTGAGTAATATTTTAAAAAGAAAAAATAAAGGAGAAAATATAAAACGGTTATCAGTGAAATTATGAAGTTTAAAAACATTTAACAGTTTTCTAGTTAATAATATAGGAACCAAACTTATTATATTGTTATTTTTTTAAGTTATCGAGCAACAAACCTTAAATCTCTGAAAAGAAAATAAAAAAAGAAAACAAATCCAACGACGCCAATAGACCCACTGCCTGACACGAACATGCTGGCCTTCAAGATCCAATGCATGTTCTTTCTCCTTTTAAAGAAAAAAAAAAGAAAAAGAAAAGAAAAACTAATTCGTGTTCACACGTGCCAGATTCTTGGCTCGTGCGAGTGATATTCCGGCGCACGTACCGAGCATTCGCCCGCCAGCCCACCCGTTCGCTGTTTCGGGATTCCCTCCGGCAGAAAGCGATTCTTCAGAAACAAATGCTGATCTCGCAGTGCAGCAGGACCATGCCCATGCCCGTTCCAATCCGAATCCCTGATCCGAACCCGCCCACTCCTTTCTATCTCCGCAAGATCTAGAGCTTTTGTTCTCCACTCTCTGCTCGGTGGAGGCGCCGGAAGATTGTGGAAGGTGATCCGGCCATGGAGTCCATTCTGGCGCGAGCACTTGAGTACACTCTCAAGTACTGGTTGAAATCTTTCTCCAGGGACCAGTTCAAATTGCAGGGCCGGACCGCGCAGCTCTCCAATTTGGGTGAATTCTCTAATTCATTTCCCTATTTCTGTCCAATTTCACTACTTACTTGTATCAACTTTGGTAACTGGGGTTTTTTCTTTTTTGTTTCTTTTTGAATTTTGGCAGATATTAATGGAGACGCTTTGCATTCCAGTATGGGATTGCCGCCGGCGCTTAATGTTACGACGGCGAGGGTTGGCAAGTTGGAGATTGTGGTGGGTGGCTATATGCTGTGAACTTCCCCTTCCTTCCCCACGATGATTGGTGATTTCTGTTTGGTGGCTGAGATCAACTAGAAATTGGATTTGTCGCTTATTTGTTTCTCTAATCCTTGTTGAACTATGTGGAAGTTTGGAATTATAGTGTAGTGATACTGTCAGTTGTGTTTGGTTCCTGGATTTAAAGTAGTGGAGAGGAAGATGAAAATTTCGGCTGGTATTTGCTGCAGCCAGTATGTCGTGTGCACTTCAATTCTTTCCCTAAATGAATTTTCTTCTTGTGGTCTTGTAGTTACCTTCGCTGAGTAATGTACAAGTGGAGCCAATCGTTGTGCAAATAGATAAATTGGATTTAGTTTTAGAGGAGAATCCAGATGCAGACGTGGGTAGAAGCATGAATAGGTAATTCACCCGTTTCTCTTCGTCTCTCTGGCCCTCCCTCTACTCCTCACTTTTAACCATTTCGTGAGCTTTCTGTATCAACCTTGGAAGGATTCTTTTCTGATCTCTAATGGTTAGGTTAGAACTGAGCCTCTGCTTTTCTTACTTGCAGTAGTCAGACTTCTTCCAGTACTGTGAAGGGAAGCGGTTATGGATTTGCTGATAAGGTAAGACACTACTGTGACAGATCATTCAGGTTCAGGTTCAGTTTCACTGAAACAAAATGCTAAAAATGTCTTTAATCTATTTAATAGTTGACAAACAACGAATGGTTTGATTGATGCATTCTTATTTTAATGAAATTTGTGGGATGTGCTAAGAAGTTTATTTAAGATCTTGATAAATTTCATGACATTGCATGCAATATGTTGACAATCGACCAGTATCAGGCTTGTTGTTATTTATTTAGGAATCAGCTATGTACTGTTCCTTTTGCCTGTCGGCTGATTTCATATGTTCTTCGTCCAATTGTAGTTTCTACAATGTTATGGTCTCATTTAATCTTCTTTTGGGTAGGAAAGAACAAGGGTGTTAGATATTGTACTTGCTTTCTTTAGGGTTCCTGTGTCGGTCAGTAAGACTTCGGAGAAGTTTATGAAGGACTTCTCATGGGGTAAGGGCTTAATGAGGGAGAAGGGCTCTCATTTAGTCAAGTGGGGAAGTGGTGGCCAACTCGTTGGATCTTGGGTCTAGGCATAGGTAATTTAAGAGTGCAAAATGAGGCTTTATTGACTAAGTGGTCGTGGTGCTTTCCTTGAGAGTCTGACACCTTATGACATAAAGGTCATTGTGACCAAATATGGTCCCCATCCTTTTTAGTGGATCTCGAGCGTTTCCGAAGGCACTTTCAGAAATTTGTGTAAAACTATCTCCAACGGGTTTCCCTTTTTCTCTTGTTTAGTGTTATGTATGTGATCGACTGGATACTTATTTTTGGGAGGATAAGTGGTTGGAGTATAAAGCCCTCTACTCTTTGTTCCCTCGCTTATACTATCTGTCTTCTATGCAGTGGTTTCTGTCCTTCCTAGTTCCTACTTCTCGGAGCTTATCCTCTCTTGTTATTGGGTTCCATCGTCCTTTTTCCAATAGGGAAAGAATGAATATTATGGTCCTTTTATCCTTGATGGTGGATTTTTTTGTTAATTCAGGGAGAAGGGACTTTCGTCTTTGTGGCCAATCCTTCAAAAGGATTTTCTTGTAGATCCTTTTTTCATTGTTTGGTGAATCCCTTTCCGTTCAGTTACCTTGTCTTTTCCTTGCGTGGAAGGTTAAAATTCCCAAGAATGTCAAATTATTTGTGTGGCAAGTACTTCATGGTATAGTTAATACCTTGGATCGTGGTTTGAGGAAGTTTTCCTGTCTGATAAGGCTGCAGTGTTGTATCCTCTGTAGGGGTGCCATTGAGGACTTTGATCACCTCCTGTGGAGCTACAATAATGCTTCTCCGGTTTGGAGTTGTTTTTCAAGACGTTCAATTTCCTTCCTCTGTAGAGGTGCCATTGAGGACTTTGATCACCTCCTGTGGAGCTACAATAATGCTTCTCCGGTTTGGAGTTGTTTTTTAAGACGTTCAATTTCCTCTTGGCCTGGCCCAGAGAGTGTAGTTTGATGGTGGGGGAGTTTCTTCTCCATTTGCCTTTTGCAATAATGGTTGTTTTCTGTGACTCACTAGCTTTTGTGCTATTTTATGAGCCTTTGGGGGATTATAGAATTTTTAGAGGGGTTGAGAGGCCTTAGAAGGAGGTTGGTCTTTTGTTAGATTTCGTGTCTCTCTTTGGGCTTTGGTATTTAAGGATTTTTGTAACTATTCCTTCAAGTCTTATTTTGCGTGCTTGGAGCTCCCTTTTTGTTTTAGTTTGACTCATTTTGGCACTTATATTTAGTGTACATTCCAGTTCATATATATATTTAGATTGTTGAGCTGTTCTTATATAATAGATTGCTGATGGGATGACATTAGAGGTTCGCACTGTCAATCTGCTACTTGAAACTGGTGGTGGATCGCAACGTCAAGGAGGAGCAACCTGGTGAGTTCTTGTTTAGTCCCTGATCTTCTGGCTTCTTCGTTTCTGCTCTCTCTCCCCTCCCCCTCTCACCCTCCCTCCATTTTTTTTGTGGCAAATGATACAATAGCTGTCTGCTTGTGAACTTTTGCACGTTTGGTTTCCATTCAGCATATGTGCATACTGTAAAAGACAAGCATTCAGTCAATTGATTAGTCAGCTATAGTTCAATCTATGACTAATGACTTCAGCCGAGAATATTGTATTTTAACTTCTTACTTGTTTTCTCCTTTGTTGTTGTTGTCATCATTGTAATTTATTTATTTATTATTTTTTCCTGTTACAACACAGAATATATTATTATGGGAAAATATATACAAAGTAAAAGAGGAGTTTATGCTATAGGATCATTGAAGTAATTATTGTTATTGTATTTAAACCTAGTTCTTGGTGTAACTTTTGCTAACACCTGTATGAATGAATGATACAAAAGGAGGGCTAGGTGTCATACCGAAGAGCATAAGGCAAAAAGCTTGGAGGCGCCAACTGTTTTGAGGGATATTTGAAAAAGAAGTCCCTTGTTCATCATTAGTAGTAAGAGTAGGGCTTTGAGAAGGTGATCTAATATAATTGTTGTGAGGGGGGTAAGAAGCTTTTAAAGAGACTTCCAATTGATTACCTAGAAAAAGAAAGGTTTGAAAGATTCCTTAGAGAGAGAGAATAGATAAGAGAACTGGATACATAAAACTGAACCCCATCCCACACTTAAGTTTAGTCCCAGCAAACCCCGTCCCCGACCTCACCTGGCCCCTTTGATGAGAGAAAAAATTAGTTGGTCTACTTCTTTCAAAACCTCCCAAAACACTGCTAAGATGAACCAGACTGGAGTATCTTAAATTTTGAACTTGAACGAACGCTTGAGTGAAGAAGAAGATTGTCCAATTTGAAAGTTGAAAGTCAAAGAGACTATCTAACTTTTACTGGAAGTTTCTGGAAAACTCACAGTGCACAGAAAGTTGATGGATGCCTTCCATAGCCTTGTCACACAAAATAGACCTCTGCAAATATTTTTTTGAACAAGAAACGAACTTTTCATTGATTAATGAAAAGGAACATGAAATTGTTCAAAGATACAAAATCCTGAAGGAGTGAAACAAAAGCAACAAAATAAAATGTTACAACAAAAACCTAAAGGGGAGTTATAAAAGACTCCCAATTTAAAGAAACCACACTCGAAGAAAAATTAGCAAACAAATTAGAAAGAACACACCATTGAGAGGCCTTAAACTTAGCTAATTTGAAAACCTCGACTGGATATTTACACTTTCCTTCAAAAATCCTCTGATTCCTCTCGAACCAAATGTCAAACAGCAAAGCTTTAACTCCATTCTGCCACAGAAGACATGCTTTGGGTGCTAAACTCGGTCCATTCAACAAGGAGATGATGTTCTTTGAGGTATCAAACTTGAAAACCCAAGAAGCATCAAAAAGCTCGAAGAAGAAACTCCAGCAAATCATAGCAAAGGAACAATGGAAGAAAATATGCCGATGAGTCTCACCAGAATTGCCGCATAATAAACAAACAGAAGGATGAAGTGTCATTGAAGGAATCTTTTTTTGCAGTACATCTGTTGTATTAACCTTGCCATGAAGAAGAATCCAAACAAAAACATTAACTTTCTTTGGACTTTTTGTTTTCCAAAGAGCACCATAAAGTTCCTTGGGCATAGAAGAAGAATTCTGATGCCTACTTAATGAGACAACCGAAAAAACCACTGAAGGATCCAAAGACCAACATCTTTTATCAACCTCATTAAAGACTGAAACTGAACTGAGCAAGGACAGTAAGGCTGAAAACTCCTCAACTTCATCATCTTTTAAAGCTTTTCTTGTCTTCACTTACCAAGCGCAAGATGACCTCTGCAAATATTGTAATATCTGGTTGTAACTTTTGAATACTCTCATTTGCATTAACCTTCTTGAGAGCAAATAACCTGATGAGTACTTTGATATTCCAAGGAAATTTGATCTTCCAAACCAGTTTGATGATTAAAGTATGTATGATAAATGCTTTTGACGGAGGTCATAAAGAAATAATTTCTTTTTAGGTTCGAGGGTCAGAATATGTAACCTGACTTTAAGAATCTGGTCTTTGGTTGTCAATTAAGCCTTCTAATTTCCACGTTCCAAATTTCAGTTTAGAGAGCTGAGGCTATGGTCTGCATGTGACTATTAGCAGCACATGGAGAATAGGAAGACTGTGAGCCAATTTTTAATTTTTGTCCACACATCTTTCAGAATCTAATCCTCTTACATGACCTCACCTAAAAGAAAGGAAACCAACAGTATGATGCCATACACTAGCCACAAAAGACAGTGCCTTCCTACGCTTGTGTCATGTATTTAAATGGGAACCTATAATTAGTAATATTGTCCTACTAAGCTTTCAGTTATAATTTTTAGTTTTAAATCTATTAAATATTGTGTTACTGTTTAGCTCTCATGTTTTTCCTTTTCTTCTTTCCCCTCTTTTTAGGGCTTCACCTTTGGCATCCATCACTATACGCAACCTTTTGCTGTATACCACAAATGAAAATTGGCAGGTAGATTATTTACATGAGGTGCAACTGATATTTTTAGTGTGTATAATTTATAACGATTTTTATGTCATAGGTGGTCAATCTTAAGGACGCCCGTGATTTCTCTGCAAATAAGAAGTTTATATATGTTTTCAAGGTAATTCTAGCTCCTATGCTTGGTTTATTTAGTTTTTAGTTTTTATTATTATTTTTTTTTGAGAAAGAACTACAGCGTTTCTCATCGAATGTATGAAAATGACAAAAGGAGAAAATCTCCAGAAGTCACTAAGGCTCACAAAAAATAGTCTGTAACATTAAAAAAAAAAACGAAGAATGCCTATTTAGCTTTTTTTTGGTGTACATTTTTCCATTTTTCTTTTGTATAATTACTTTTATTGGTTTATTACAATGTTTTGAAAGTCTAAAAATGTCCTTTAATCTTGAAGGAGGCAAAGAATAATTCTTGAGGCACTATGAGGCGTAACCCTAAGCTTAAATAAAAAAATGAAAATCACTAAATTGTTAGACTAGGTACTATTTTTTGAACAAGAAATAAACTTTTCATTGATAGATAAAGATGAAGATAAATGTTCAAGAATACAATGAAAAGGAGCGAAAGAAGACCAAACAGCCAGAAAAAAGAACAGATCTCTAAAAATTACTAGAGAATAAGACATTAAAGAACAAATCGCTTAATTACTTGATAAAATGACGAGCTGAAACAACCAAAACCTCTCCCTTCATTTTGCAAGACCTACACCAACAACTTGAACAAGAGAAAAGAACAACTACGAGGGTGAGAGCACAAATCAGAAAATGCCCCAACAATAGAATTGTTCCATAAGCAAAACCACGTAACGTAGCTATGAAGATTTCAGCAAAGGGGCTGCGACCACACCTTTTTCATGTAGTTGCCCTCCCTTTTGATGTAGTAATAACAAAGATATGCTGCTCTTTGGAAGATCTTTATGCTGCTCTTTGGAGGACTAAAAGTCCAAAGAAAGTTGGTGTACTGTCCTGGATTTTGATTAATGGGAAGGTAAACATGGCGAACATTCTCCAAAAGAAGCTGCCCACCTTGGCTTTATCCCCCTCCATTTGTGTGCTATGTGCAGCAAGTGGAGAATGTCAGCTTCACGTCTTTTTCCAGTGTTCGCTTGCTGCTGCTTGCTGGGAACTCCTATTTCACCATTTTTCCATCTCTTGGGCTTTTGATGTTGATGTTCCAAAAAATATCCTCCAACTTCTCTGTGGGCCAAGGCTAAGCCCTAAAGCTTAGCTTTTATGGGTCAATGGCATCAAAGCTATTCTTTCAAAATTATGGTTCGAAGGGAATGAAAGAATTTTTGAAAGGTAAAAGCAAGTCCCTATTGGATTGCTTCAGTTTAGCTAAGTTCAAAGTATCCCATTGGTGTTTCCCCTCATATTCATTTTCTAATTATATTCCTAGTTTAATCTGTACGAATTGGGAGGCATTATAACTCCCCCTTAGTTTTATCTTCTGCCTTGTCTTTTATTCTTATCTTGTATCTCTCTCTCGCTCATTCGGAATTTGTATCTTTGAACATTTTCGGTTCCTTTTCATTAATCAATGAAAAGTTCGTTTCTTTTGTTCCCTCGGCTCTACCATCTTTCTAATAAGAGGTTGCATTTGGTGGCTGCTATCATGGATCCTTGGGGGGAGGGGGCTGTGCCCTCCGTCTCTTTGGGGTTTCGTCGTTCTTTGATTGATCGTGAGTCTTTAAAGGTTTTCGCTTTGCTTGGCCTGTTGTCGGAGGTTTCTTTTAGTCCTGGGAGGGAGGATGTGCGTGTGTTGTCCCCTAGTCCTCGAAAACACTGGTTTTGAGTCCCCCAAAAAATCTCCCCAGTCGGCCACCTTGTTCACCTCTCTTTGGAAGATAAAAGTTTTGAAGAAGATAAAGTTCTTTGGGTGGCAGGTCTTACTTGAGAAAGTCAATACCTTGGATCGTATTTAGAGGATTTCTTCCTTGTGTTGGGTCCGCAGTGGTGTGGGCTCTGCAAAGGAGCCTCAAAAGACCTCGAGTATTTGTTGTGGTCTTGTCAGTTTGCTCAGAAGCTATCACTTCATTTCTTTGGATGCTTTAGGGCGGTCATGGAGGAGATGTTGCTGTTCCTTTGTGATAGGGGTCGTTTCTTGTAGTAGGTGGGCTTTTTGGCTACTTTGTGGGGTATTTGGTTGGAGAGGAACAATAGAATTTTTGGGGGGTGGAAAAGTCGGTGGATACTGTTTCTGTTTGGGATATTGTTAGGTTTAAGACTTCTTTATGGGGTTCAGTCTCTAAGGCCTTTTGTAATTATCCGTTAGTGTCACTCTTTTGGATCGAAGTCCTTTTCTTTAATGGGCATCCTCTTCTTGGGCTGTTTTTTTGTATGCCTTTCTTGTTCTCCTTTTCATTTTTCTCAATGAAAGAGTGGTTTCTAATAATAAAAAAAAGAGAGAGTTCATTTCTTGTTAAAAAAAAAAAAAGAAAAGAGTAATAGCAAAGATATGCGAGAACCAAGGTTTGGACAACTTCTGCAAGGAGAACCAAAGGTTGCCAAAATCAAAAACCCAATGCTACCATCTGAAGAACCTGATTTGCACAGCTAAGGAACCAAAAATTCAATGTGCGGAGAGAAAAACCTTTTGTATAGGATAGAAGGTCCACAAGGTATCCAAGTGTCCCAATCTTTAATCAATAGTTAACCCAAAAAGAGAGTTCAAAGAATATACTACCGCCCCTTGAGAGAGAACATGATGCATTAATAAAATGTTCTTGATTAAACATGAAGATTGCATTAAATGATAAAAATACAAAAAAATGAAAAAAATTACATCTATTAATTATTACTTTCTTAAATGAATATTATTGTAGAGACTAAGGTTGGAGAGAATCCAATGTAATGTATTCTCATTATTAAAGTCTATGTATATAGACAAATATACAAGGTTGACCTAATCCTATAAGGAGAAGGTAAATGACAAATTAATATTAATACAAGAATATAAAATATACTAATATATACTCTAACACTCCCCCTCAAGTTGGTGCATATATATTAATCATGCCCAACTTGTTAGACAAATAATTTATTCGTGCTCCATTCAACTTGTGTTTTATGATTTTTTGATATCAATGGGATCACCTCAGAAGTTACGATTGATTTCTTCTCAGCCATAACAAAAAAACGAACTTATTTGAACAAAACGACAGAACCAGACCAAACTACCCGAACCAAACAAAACAGATGAATCAAACTGCTGGAACCAAACCGGATTAGGTGTTTAATGAAACCAGAAACCCTAAGTGCTACCCCACGACAACCAAAGGGGCGAAGGCGACGGGTGGCGACTGGCGGTGACGAAAGCACACGGCGACGGCGATTGGCGGCGAGACGAAACCCACGAACAACAATCGAAAAACAGCAACGCTGGTGAATTAGCAAACGGCGGCGGTCGGCGGTCGGCGGTCGGTGGCGGCGGCGGCAGTGAGTTGAGTTGGATAGCAATGAACAAAACACCCTAATGGGCACAAAATCCTAATGGGCACCAAAACCCTAATGGGCACAAAACCCTAATGGGCAAGAAACCTAGAAACCTAGAGCTCTGATACCATGTAGAGACTAAGGTTGGAGAGAATCCAATATATTGTATTCTCATTATTAAAGTTTATGTATGTAGACAAATATACAAGGTTGACCTAATCCTATAAGGAGAAGGTAAATGACAAATTAATATTAATACAAGAATATAAAATATACTAATATATACTCTAACAATTATAAATGTCATTCCCAAATATCATTATTAACACTAGAATCTACAGGCTTTTTATCTTTTGTTTTAAATATATTTTTTTAAATCTTAGTGATAAATTGTTAATGGGCTAAATTAATTGTAGTGTGTTGGCATTAAACAGATGAATTATTTTTTATATTTTTTAAGACTATTACAAATGGGTTAACTCTTCTAGTTTTTTATATTTCTTAAGACTATGACAAAGTGTAAATCCTTTTAAAAGTTATGGTTTAAATTATCTCATATCCAATTGGTGAAGTTTTTTGTAACTTCATTGGATAGGGTTTTTTTTTTGTTTATTTCATATTATCAATGAAAAAAAAAAATTTCATGAGGCATATAGCCTCAAATCCAAGATGCGATGTTAGTCTCCTCTATAAGAGACAACAGTGTTTTTATTTTTTATTTTTATTTCTTTGTTAAGTTTATTAAATTTAATTTTTTAATTTATTATTATAATAATAATTATTGTTATTCTTATCACTAATATCTAAATACCAACTTTCATTGAGATAAAATGAAAGAAGAGATGTTAGCTTCTTGTGATCCAAAAAAGCTGTAAAAATAAGGCTACAAATTTTTTTGATGAGAAACTGCACTTTCATTGAGGGAAATGAAAAAAGAAGATACACAAAAAGGGCAAGCCTCAAGAGTAAGCCTGGAACGCCTTCTGAAACATTGATTTATTATTTGTATTGATCATATATGTTTGAGTATTGGCCTGGCCCCTCTCTGCATGCTTCAAATTTCTGTCTAACCTAAAATGGTGTTATGTTCAGTGACTTATAATGATAAGTTCTTCTTGATGCTAGAAACTTGAATGGGAATCTTTGTCAATCGATCTTCTGCCTCATCCTGATATGTTTGCTGATTTGGCTCGTGCTCAAGAGGGAGCAAATGGTAGGGATGATGATGGTGCTAAACGTGTTTTCTTTGGTGGAGAGCGATTTATTGAAGGAATATCTGGTCAAGCTAATGTAATACAAATCTGATGTTTCAGTTTGATTCTTGATGAACTTGTCTTTATGGTGTAATCTTAGAGAGGATCTTACAGAATTATGAGGGTTTTGCATCCCTGATTCACTTTATTCTGAAAATATGAGCAGATAACATTGCAGAGGACCGAACTAAACAGTCCACTTGGTCTTGAAGTGAATTTACATATCACAGAAGCTGTATGCCCAGCCTTAAGTGAACCAGGTTATCAAATCATATGGTTTTTAGATCAGTTCTTCACCATGTGACAAGATGTTGTATTGATGGTGATCTATCTTACTGATGGGATTTATCTACGGCATCAACAGGACTTCGTGCCCTTCTTCGCTTTATGACTGGATTATACGTTTGTCTAAATAGAGGAGATGTGGATCTGAAAGCTCAGCAGGTTATCATTTACCATTCTCTTTGGAATGTGCTTTTCAATATTATATGAGAAAGTCTCACACATCTCTCTCTTTCTTTCATTTTTATTGGCAGCGTTCGACAGAAGCAGCAGGACGTTCTTTAGTTTCTATTATTGTAGACCATATATTTATGTGTGTGAAAGACCCTGGTTTGTACTCCTTCCTTAAAAATAACCCCTCTTTGGATTATATGATGTCCTATAATATGTGCTAGTTAGGTTTATATTCTATCAAAAGGACTGAGTCCATTGGGTCGGAGCTGAACCAATCCAATAGGTGCCCATATTCTGAACGTTAGGAACAAGAAGTTACCTGTCTGAGTTTTGAAAGCTAAACTCAACTCTAGTATATTCAAGATATATATATATATGTATCCATGCATACATATATATTTAAAAAAATATATTTATATATATTTTTTTTTAACAAGAAACAAACTTTTCATTGATATATGAAAAGGAACATAAAATATTCAAAGATACAAATTCCAAGACAAAAAAGTGAAATAATAAAGTAAAATACAGCCATAAGCAAAATAAAACTAGTGAAAGTTACAAAGGAGCAATAAAAGCTTCCCAATTTGAGTAGATCATGCTAGGAGAGTAATTTGCAAAAATATTGGAAAGAGCACACCATTGAGAAGCTTTAAATTTGGCCATGTTGGAACATTACATCGGGTGCCCCTTCTGTGTCCTTCGAAAATCCTCTAATTCTACTCAAACCATAATTCCGAAATGAGGCCTTTTGAGCCATTAACCCAGAGAAGACTGGCTT